TATATACCAACTGTAAAGATCACATCAGGAATGAAGATATTAGAAGGAGGACAAATACTGTATATTCCAGTGTAGATAGAATTGAAACGAGACAACTAGTGTGGTATGGTCACGTGAAACGAATGAATGAAGATAGATGGCCAAAGAAAGCTTTAAATTATATACCACAACAAAGAAGAAGAAGGGGAAGGCCTTCAGTTGCCTGGGAAGAAAATGTACGGCACATAATGAGAGATAGAGCCATCAGAGAAGACGAATGGATGGACAGAAAACGATGGCGGTCGAAATGCGAGAAACGGCAGAGGCTGTAGGAACCTCGCTTATATATATATATATATATATATATATATATATATATATATATATATATATATATATATATATATATATATATATACCAACTGTCAATAAAAAGTATGGAATATATGTTTTTTTACTACGCGTAGTACTAAATTTAAGGTGGAAATCGCTTATAGAATAAAATTATTTCTGTCCTTGTTTAAAAAATTATAAAATTGCTGGAACACGTCGATTATAAATATGCGCTTTTTAAATATAATGTACAAGGTGACTCACGCAAGTCTACCATAGGAACACCCTATATATTTATATATTCTTAAAAGCTCATTAAAAACTTGACCTCAACGAACTATATCATGTAAAGTCTATTATGAATATTACAGGGTAGGTAGTATGTTGAAATTATATAGTGTGAAAACCACTTATGGAATACAATTGTCTTTGTCCTTATTTTAGAAAATTATTAAAAACGCTGACACAAGTCAACTTTTAAATTCAAATTTACATTTTTCAAACATAAATTTAAATGTACAGGTTCAGTCACGCATGTCTAGCAGAGTCCATTATCTTTATTTTTAGTGGAACACCCTGTATATTTATGTTTTTTAAATCTATTTAACAAGTTGATAATATAATGTATGATTTTTTATGAATATTATAAGGTGAACTTTTAAATTGTATATAACATTTGTCAAGAAATTAAATACAAAACTCAATATATTGATAATTAGTTCACAAAATGGATGTCTGTATTTAGATTATTAAAAAAAAAGCATTATTTAAAGTATAATTAATGAATAATTTAAAAATTTTGTTTATTTAATGTCTCCACAAACATTATACATAGTTTCAAAATTTTAGCTTGAATTATTCATACTAGACTCTACATAATGTACTTATTTGAGATGAGGCTATAGCTTCTAAAAACATAAAAATATACAATGAAAACTAAAGATGATGCACTAAATAAAAAATATTAATAGTAACCAACTGAGTATCCGTATCACAGAAAAGGTAAAGCAGAAACTTGTTCCTATAACAAATATGGCAACATGGCCTTCAAACACACTGTCTATGCAGCCATATTTGTGGCATCCCGAAACACAGATATCTGGTACGGATATATTTGTGGCATCTTTTTCACACAGTTTCTGATCACCAAATAATTGTGGAATCCGGTGCCACAATTATATTCGTCGATAATATTCATACCATGGAGTGTATCGAAATAATTCCTATCCATAAACACTCTGCTCGAAGGGTGCCAGTATCATAGTATGTTTACTTCGATTTGCCACAATTGAGGATATAGTATGCGATGCCACAAATATTGCGAAACGTGTATAGGTGTGTGTGTGTGTGTGTAGAGTAATTGTCTTGATACTTAGCAAAGTCGACGTCATTGTCTTTGCTAAGAGACGCTAATTGTATCCGAACCTCTGCGGTCCCTCTGGTGAGTACCGATCGCACAAGGATAGAAATTATTTTCATTCATTAATTTTTAATAAATGAAAATTTCTCCACCCAGATGAGATTCTAACTCACGACCTTTAGGTTTAAAGGTAGGCGCTCTTACCACTGAGCCACAGAGGGGGTTGTAAATTGAATTACCATTTTAAATATTTTTCAATTAATTAAATAACGATACATCAATTTTAACAAATTAGTAAAATCATATTCAACCTATTCTGATCATAATCCATTGTTTGTATTTTGAGAATGATTTCTAAAGTGGAAATTGTAACGTCAATAAACTTATTTTAAATTTTAATTGGGGCTTATTCCAAATGCAATGGCTTGCAAGTCCATGTGACTGATATAAGTGGAAATTTGATAAATGTTCTAAGAATAAATAATAATCCGAGAAATTTGTTGGTTGTATCTTCTTGAGTTTCTGTGTGTATCGTCAAAAATATTGCGAAAGAGGGATGCGAAATTGAAACAGAAAATATATCCGGTTTCTCACTTCTAATAAGAAATAGTCTTTAAAAATAAAACATTTACAGTTTTACTTTTACATTAAACAGTTTAAGCAAGGTCTGTTTAGAATTAGAATTTACAGAGAATTAGGAAAAGGATATCGAGTTACTCAGTTTGGATTCCGGGAGAGATAAGGAACTCGCGAAGCATTATTTGCCTTTAATATCTTGACACAGAGGTGTTTGGATATGAATCAAGATGTTTTTGCTTGTTTCATTGATTACAACAAGGCGTTTGATAACGTCAAGCATGACCAACTTTTAGAGATCTTGAAAGCTAAACAGTTAGACACTCGCGATATAAGAATAATATTTACTCTGTATTATAATCAGAAGGCAGTTGCACACATTGAATCAGGAGAGAATCTCTCTCGTGTTACCGCCAAATAATGTAGAGCGTAGAAATATTTTAACTTATTTTAAACTGTTTGTCCTTGATTTAGTGTAGTGTTTATACAATTTCATATTCATCACATGCTACGCTTGCTGGATAGCCCATATTTGACGAAATGCAACTGAAGATGCTGTTTTAGGCGGAAGTACTTGAGCAATATTTAATTAAACTTGTGCTCGATATAATTGCTTAATTTTTAAAAGTTCATTTTAGAATATGACTAGAAAAATGACTTCAAGAAGGTCTCTAAACGACGCGGAGCTCGTGCAGTTAATCGAAGAAGGGCTATTTGGTATTAAATATACACGTGACGAAGCCACAGACGGAAAAAAGAAGCAAATGAACGCGTCATTGTTAAGGAGCAGCTTACAGAACTAGAATGTCAAGATTATGTTAAAGAGCAAGAGGATAAACATGTGAAGCAATAGAGCTTCAAGAATCATTTATAAAGAAGAATCGCAGCATAAAGTTTTAAAACAAAGTAAAATGAAGAGAATAAATCAATCAATTAATCAGTTTATATTGTTCTATGCCGTCATCTAATGTCCAGTCTCCATTTATCGCAGTCATTTTCTAAAGGTTTTCTTTAACTAACCTCTCCGTTCCGTTTTTATCGATTCCTTCTTCCCAACTTAATCTCGGTCTATCTTGCTTTCTTCTTCCATGCAGTGTCCAGTGCAATACTTCCTTTGGTATTCTGTGTTCATTCATTGTTTATACATATACATACCATCTTAGTTGATTTATTCTAATGTCCTCTGTTATATTCTACTTAACACCCATAATTTCACGTATTCTTTCGTTTCTAACTTTTTCTAATATTGATTTTCTAGTCGCTCTTCTCCAGAAGTCTATTTCTATTGTTTCTAATGATTTTTTAAAGTTTTTCCTTTCAGGGGCCATACCCCACTTTCATATGTCTTCTTCTTTTTCTTCACTAGCTTTACAACTCGGGGTGAGTCTTCGCCGCATCCACTATCGCTCTTCATCTTCTACGATCTTGCGCTTCTATTTCCCATTGTTTGTACCCTAATTCTAGAAAAATCGGCTTCAACATCATCCTTCAATCTTTTTCTCGGTCGACCTACTGATCTTCTACCATCTAGTCTTTCAAAAAACACTGTCTTTAACACTCTGTCATCCTATGATCATACCACGTGACCTGCCCATCTTATTCGGTTTGCCTTGATATGTCTAACTATGTTTTCAGTTCCATATAGAGTCATCAATTCAGCATTGCGGCGTCTTTTCTAATCCCTGTAAATGCATCTTTTTGAGGGCGAAATATTATTCTGAGAAACTTTCTCTCAAATACTAGAAGCTTATTGATTTCCCGCTGGTACTCCTTTACTACTTCGAAGTTGTGATTATTAATACTGATGTTCTGCCTAACTCTTGGTCTTGGATTTTTGGTTACTACTCTGTACTTTATGTATATATACTTTATGTATACTCGTTTATACTTTATGTATGTACTTTATGTACTTAATGTAATTAATCTATAAAATAATTTGCGACATACATTAATTTGTATACTGTCACAAAAGACAATAGTTTTTTTTCACTTTAGCCGAGGAAATCAAAACATTGGTTGGCATATATATTTTAATGAGAAACTAGCAGTATCCTAGAACCACTATGAGACCACTATTAAATGGTATAAGAAAGAAACAAAAGGCAGAATTTACAAAACAGTCATCAGACCAATAATGACATACGCGGCAAAAACAAGACCTGACACAGAGAGGTCAAGAAGGAGGTTAGAAACAGCAGAGATGAAATCGGTTAGAAAAATTAATGGTAAAACACTACAAAACAGAGCTAAAAGTACAGATATACGTGGTAGATGCAAGGTGAAGAACATCAAGAACTGGGTATGAAATATAAGTGTAGAATGGACCGATCATACAAGCCGAATGACAACAAATAGAGTAGTAAAGCCGGCAAGAGACGGTTCCCCAATAGGAAGATGATCAGTAGGAAGACCACGAAAACGATGAAATGACAACTTACTGGAGGCATATTAAAAAAACAGACAAAGTCATCTCTAAATAAAAGGAAAAAGAAGAAGAAGAAGAAGAAGAAGAACAAGAAAAATGTATCTTCCCTGCCTCTAAAAAGAGACAGATAAACATAAAACAATATGTAACAATAAACCCCCTTACATAAACACTATGTATGTATATAAAACATAAAAAAATATGTTAAATGTAAAAATTAAATTTAAAATGCCAAAAAAATCGTTCTCGCTGTGTTTCAGATTTTTAGCGTAAATAAATTTAATTCGTGAACGAAAGGGTTAAGTTGCTAAGTTCATTCTTATTTACCTTATTATATCTTTATGTTCCAAAATCAGTTTTCTTAATCGCTTCATATTCTTAATAGGATCTGTTTCGCCATTTTTAAAAAAAGTCTCTATTCTTCGCCCAAGTACTCTAAATCTAACAGAGGCAAACATTATCAGAGAAACTATTGGGGCGTCTGAGCAAGAGATATACTGATCACAGAAAAATACTGCAGCTACCTACAAACACGTACATCATATTGGTTTGGACTAAGATATGTTTGAACTCAAGTTTTACTGAGATGAGGCATCGACCAAAAACTTAGAAGAGGGTAAATGTAGTGTTGGCAAAAATATTGTAAGACAGGAAGTGCCATTTTGAGAGGCCACATTAACCAAGGAAAGTCTCTTTCCTTATTTAAGAAATCAAATTAGTTGGGTTATGTTATTATTTGTCCATCTGTCACATAAACTCTTATTTATATTAAGGTTTTTAACAATTGTGTCACATTTTAGGCTATTATCGTTAACATTTAATTAAAACTGTCTTGTCTAAGATACATTCTGAAAAATATTTTATAGTTATTCTTAATAAGTGTCGTAAAATTTCAATTTGGCGCCTTTGCATTTCCGGATATGTTCGCCATATTAAGAGGTCACTTTTATGAATTTTGGTCTGCTTTTTATAATGATTAGATTCCCTCTTTTGTTTTTTTTGATCGATGGATAAAGGATGCCAGATGCGTAAGGCATATATACAGAAAATATCAGATTAAATTAAAGGTTAAAAACTTTTTTTATGCTATTGGAATCAACACCTGTATATATATATGTATATATATTATATACACCCTGTATATAAATAATAAAGAGCAGTTTATTTTAAAATATGTTTATTATTATTATTAATCAATAGTTTTTTATTGATATAACATTTTTTAGTTTTGTTTAAAAAAACTTATTATCAATATCTTATTTTTATCCATAAAATCTCATTAAACAATTATAACATACCTGATAAAAATAATACGCATTAAAATAGTTATCATTATAATACGGAAACCATTCTGGAAATATCAATGATCGTCCAGTCTCTAACCCTTTAGCTTCTTTTTCTTTCCAGTCCATAAAGTTAATGATAAACGTTGTCACTTCGTTAACACCACAAGCTAAACAAGCTATAGGTAGAAGTATTCCTAGTTTGAAGCTGTTTCGACTTTCTTCTACGTATATTTGATAAAATTGCTGGTCTTTCTCTTGTTTTAAGTTATTTTCGAAAATTACTATTTCATGCATGAGTTTTCTAATTGGTTTTCTTCTTACCAACCAAGCTTTCCAGGAACTTAATGTGTATACCTGAAAAATAAACAACACAACAATACAGTAACCAGCTGCTGTCGAAAAAAAAACTTTCAAGCCTTAGAATAAGCCTTCCCTCTTCTCTACAACAAGAGGAATGGAATACTCTATAAGAAAACTGTAAAATCTGTATACTAGGAGATTTAAACGGCAGAGTAGGGAGAGAAGAAAATACAGAGTCGTGGGAAGATATGGGGAACAAATAGCCAATAACAACGGAATGCGTCTTAGAAATTTTTTTGAAACAATATTTTTCAAAATTATATCATGTACTTATGGTCAATGTGATAGTTAACTATCGCAAACACAATAATACTCAGGTACAGAATATAGAAAAGGGACGAGAAGTAACATCTCCTAAATATAATCTAGAAAGCTTAAAAGAAGATTCAACGAATTTTTTTTACAAATTACGACTGGCCACAAAATTACAAAATGTAGATCGAGATAATATATCAGCGGAAGAATTATACCAGCAACTTAAAAAATGCATCCATGAGGCTGCAAGTGAAGCTTTGGGATATAAAGACAAACATGAAACAAAAAAATCAAGAATGTTATTCGGAGAATATGCAAATGTTAGTAAACAAGAAGAAAACGGCTTATCATAAATGGATGTCAACGAGAAAGGAGCAAGATTACAAGATACATAAACAATGACATCGAGATGTAAAAAGAGAAGAAGTGAAAAGTAAAAATAAGATGTGATATCGAAGATGTGCAGAAGTGGATAGGTATATGGGTGGAAAAAAGTTAGCTAAATTTTTTCAGGTAAAAATTCATGCGGTAATTTCCTCGGCGCCGTTTATCTTCTTTTCAAATGAGACTGCTAAGATAGGCTGCACCTGTATATTAAACAAGAGAAGCCTTGTTTAGTATACAGGTGCTAGTACAGAGATGCAGACATATAAATTAAAATGTGTACATTTGTGCAATCGATTTTGAAAAAGCTTTTGACAAAGTCCGACATAACAAAATGCTAGAATTATTGGAAGCAGCTGGATTGGACGATAAAGATCTACAAATAATTACAAATCTATACTGGCATCAAGTGGCAAGAATAAAGGTTGAACAAGAACTGTCGGATGAAATAAATATAAAAAGAGGAGTAAGGCAAGGCTGTATATTGTCGCCTTTACTTTTTAACTTATATTCGGAGAAAATATTTAAGGAAGCCTTAATGGAGACAACCGAAGGTATTATTGTAAATGGAGTAACCGTCAACAATATTAGATATGCCGACGATACCTTAGTCCTTGCCAATTGCGGAGAAGACCTTCACAATCTAATGAACAAAATAAAACAGACTTGTGATCAGTTTGGATTAAAACACAACGTTAAGAAAACTAAATATATGATAGTTAGCAAACAAAATTATATACAGGATGACGGTATAAAAGTCAGAGATGCCACACTGGACAGAGTAGAGAAACTCGTGTATCTCGGCAGTAATATCAATGACAGCTGGGATCCAACCGCAGAAACTAAAAGCCGAATAGAACAAGCCCGAGCTGCCTTTGTAAAAATGAGAAACGTACTTTGCAGTCACGATCTTAGCATTGACCTTAGAGTTGATGACATCTTGCTACATCTTTCCTGTCCTGCTGTATGGATTGGAAGCGTGGACTCTAACTAAGGCTATGCTTAAATGCTTAACAACCTTTGAGATGTGGGTATACAGACGACTACTGAAAATAAGCTAGGTCGACAGAGTTAGAAATGAGGAGGTCCTTAGACGGCTGAGCCAAACAATACAACTGGTCAATATAATAAAGAAACGCAAGCTGGAATACATTTTGTGTTACATTTTGAGACACCCTGAAAAATATAATTTTTTACATTTGATCATTCAGGGAAAGATCCAAAGTAATCGTAGTCCTGGTAGACGAAGAACATCATGGCGGAAAAATCTAAGGCAATGGTATGGAAAATCAACTACATCGTTATTTAGAGTTGCTGTCAATAAAGTCACGATAGCGAATATGGTAGCCAACATGATATCCAACGATCGATAACGGTCATGGAACTAGAAGAAGAAGATAATTATAAATAAAAATGTATTATTCACAAATTATGAGATAAACGTTAAAATTATTTCAATAAAAAATTATCCAAATTAACCTTACCTGAAAATAAGACGATAAAACAGCAATTTCAGATTTATTTTTGTACGGCATAACCATCAACCCCCCTAAAACAAAAGTAGAAACAAAGGAAACCATAAGACACTGGACCATTATCGTATAAATTATGTATATAGTATGCAAACGTTTGTTCGACAGCGTTCCAGGCCAAATCCCAACAAGCATCATAATATATTTTGTTAGAAGTAAATAATATGCATCGTATTCCATCTTGCGTGGCTATGAATAAGATTTACACCACTGAAATGATCATCAGTTCATACTTCAGGGGTAAAAAATAAATGTCTTGACCGCTATATATTGACAGAAAAAACTGTTGAATAATGCAATAGGTAATGCCGTGATAATAGCCTAATAATAGTAATTCAGTGAATACGTAGATATGTCATTTAATGCATTTGGAAGATTTTCGCATAATTTATTTAAAAACACATTACTAATATTTTTACAGAAGATGTTCCCCAGTATTATTATATAATTGTAGCACAAAGCTTTTATTATGCATTTAATAAATACAGGTTTTTTAAAATAATAGGCCAGAAAAACAACAGAGATAGTGCATAGACACGTGTAACGTTATAAACGTCACATCTTTATTAATTTATATTTAGATATTTATTTTATTTTAATTTCCTTATTAATTTATCAATTCCTTTGCCTTCAGTTTCTTACTTACCATTTTTACTTCAAAAACAAGTTGGCGCCCACTTTCTCTTTCTGTCCAGTAGAATACTGTCTCTATTTCTATCCTGTAGAATGAATATTAGCTCTATCTTTCTTTCCGGTAGAATAAATGTGCCCACTCTCTCTTTTTGTCCGCTAGTAAATATTCTGTTCTATGTTGAGATAAGAGCTAATTCTATCGTAAGCATACGTCCTTTGTCATCTGTGCTAACTTCATTGTAGTCATTTTCGACTTTCTGTCTATCACCTTTCATGATCGCAATATTATTTTTTTGTCGTATATTTGAAATTTATAAAAGAATTAATAATGTATCATCCCAGGTATTTAAAGTGAATAACTCTCAGAAGGTTTTGTTGATGTATCTGTTCGGAAGCATTGGTAAGGTTGACGACTAAAAATTATTACCCTAGCTCCCTGCCTAACCAGAATATATCTGACGGTCGATAACTTGCCAATCTAGTTGGCCATAAGATAACTCAAATAATAAAATTATGACTAAGCGCCATCGAGAAATCTCCTACCATTAAAACGAATCATGTAAATAACTACACAATTTAAACTAATAATAATAACTCATAGAATTAGTCTGAAATATAAATTTGTATTGTCAAGTAATAAATATATACATTATAAATTAATTTTGTTTTAGTGTTAGTGTAAATTAATAAAATTAAGTGTTAGAAAACTTTTATTTATTTTATTAGTACGCGTGATACGCACAGTTTTTTGGTAGCAGATGTAGCTGTATTATTTTTGTAAGATATTGGGAGCCACAGTAGAACATTTTGGAGGACTCAAGAAGGCGTTAAGCAAGTTTGTACCTTTTTTCATTTACTAATATTATTGTATTGTAGACTAGATCATGAAAAACTCTTTACAACTTAGAATTAACAAACGAAATATGTCTTCTAATAAATGAGGAAGAGGACTGGAGAGGATTTGTAGATAATATTTTAACGAAATAATACTAAGAAACCCAAGAAAGAGAGAGAGAGAGGGAGAGAGAGAGAGAGATGAAATATTTAAAATGAAATGGACTTTAGTAAAAAATAAAAGTAATGAACACTATAGACCTAAATCCAAGACATAAAAATAGCATGTATCTCTTTAATGTATTATCTTTGTTAATTTATCGAGTCTTCTTAAAATATTTAGAACCAAATTATTTATTACCCTCCGATCTGATTTTTAACGAGCGATAAAGACGGCGAAGACATCGAGACAAACGAATTTTGTAAATTCAAATTTCCTAAACGATCCACAAACTAATTTTCAGAAATGACATCTCCCCCTCTCCTCGTGACTTACGATTCCAAAGCAAACGCACATTATCTTAGAAAGCGATCACACTAAATCGCGAGTTACCTCATAATCGTAATAACATTTCTGCATCGTCACGTTCTGAGACTTCTCCACTATATCGAAGTTGGCGGAGGTGGGATAATGTGGGGAAGGGTGGTGTTTTGGTGGTTAATATTTTGAAACGGTGATTTTCGTGTCACTGTTTTGGTTTATATGAAATAATTTCTCTAAGCTTTAAGATACTACTATGGAGTTTTAATACTTGGACATTTGATATAAGAATCATTCTAATTTCGCCTACAATACTTTTAAATTTGTAATTTAAAAAACTTTTCCAAAGAATAAACTTTGGTTTGGTATAAGATATGACAGGTGTCTGTATTAGACACCAGACTCAGTATAACACAGGATAAATTTAAATAAAAATATATTTAAAATAAATAACAAAACAAAATTAATTTCTATATAATATGTACAATGAAATAATAATACGAATCCCAGTAAACAAATCGTCGGCGCTAAAGCCATTGTTGATAACTGCGAAAAATAAATATTGACGGTTTTAAAAAGGTTGAAATAAAAAGACGATGTATTGGTCAATACCCAAATATCTGTGAAGACTAGTCAATATTCAGTGTAGGTTAGAGGTGGCCCAATCGATTACAACTTGATACGAATAAGGAGCGCAAAACGATTAATCAATACTTGGTGTCCGTAGAGTGGGACAGTTTAGGCTTAAACCAATACTCCAGGACCCGTGTTAGGAGCTCTTACCAGATCAGTCCTCTAACTGGAACTGCCAAAGTAGTTGGTCTTTGGTTCATACTGAAAAGCTTGGCTTGGAGTTCTTACCAGATCAGTTTTGCTGCTTGAACTCGATTCTCTAAACAAATAAAAAAATAAAAATAAAAATTTCACACTTAAATATTTTAATCTAAGATATCATAGTCTTCTTTATTGACATCCATCTTCTGCACCGCCTACTGGTGTAGCTGCGTACTGCGCTTTTGATATGGACTTTTTCGCTTCTTTTCCTATAGGTACTTATTTTCGGCATCGTGACTACTTTCCTAATTGGCTGTCTTCGGCAACATCCATCTAGACCCTGATCATAAGGTCAATGAGTCTGTTTTGATCTGAACATCTTCTGGATCTGATTCTTAGCGGAGAAGTCTCTGGTCTTAGGGAGTCTTCTTGTGACTTGGTGGAAGAAGTATCTTGTCCTTTTCTTAGCCACTTTCGTCAGTGGTGTATAATAGAGCCTTTTTTTGATGGTTGCATTAATTTGTTATTCTTTCTTCCCACGTTGATCCATCGATAATCCTGTGGCATGATGTTTCTGTAGCTTTTAGCTTCATTGATTCTCTGTTACCGTGGACATCATTTTATGTCTTTGCCTGAGTTCCATCTCCAGAGAGTATCAATGGCAAGCACCAGCGATGAATTGCTGGTAGGAGTGCAGCAAGGAGGGAGGGACCGGCAGTGTAGCCGGCGGTAAGCTCTGTTGGCGCATTATGGCAGCATGCTATCGTTACAACGATAAACATTTTGTTGTTCTTAACTCTGAGTATGCTGCTTATAAGTAGATTGAGTAGTAGTTTATTCACTGCACAATGCTTTTTATTCAATATTTTGTTAATATTATATCTTATACACCAAATTCTGTCAATTTTGTGATCAATGTGTCTTTTTTTGATCAATATTTTTCGAAATTTTTAACGCTTTACGTAATCGAAATCAATATGTTTCAGTGAATGATCACCGATTACAATTTCTTTTGTGGGTGGTAATTATCTTTCAATGCTATAATTTTTGTCTTTTTGTCGATAGTTTTCAAGTGAGTTATCAAAGAGTCAATGTAATTTATGAATAGCATTTTCTGCAGAGCTTAAGAATTTAATTTCAGATACTAAACGTTTTTAATTCAAAGCTGCAGCTGGAGCAAATGGATGGACTTATAAATAAAAGCTAACACTGCAAAATCTTCAACAAAAGTCTTAAAATGAAAACAAAACATGTTTTAATTGTGAAAGAATAGAATATTTGCAAAATAATTCTAGAAGCTCATCCCAGGCAAGGAAAGAAGAACCGAAGAATGAGGTCACAAGGTTGCCTATCAACATCCAGAAGTTAGTCGTATTTTTCTTCTAGAAATACTAGTAGATATAATTATGTCTGTAAGAAATTTATCCCATATTACTGATTTTCCACACAAAAATGAAATATAAAATTTAGTTACAGGTTAAAATCCAGTGTCAGCTTAAAAAAAATTTAACCGAAGAGGTAAGTCACTAGCTGACCACAGTTAAGCGACAAAACAATAATGATAAAATTTTCCTGGAAAGTCTTAAAGAGACAATGGAAAGATAAAGAAAAGTAATACGAGAATGGGTTTAAAATGAGGTAAGACCTATTTGACAAGAAATAACCAAATATTGTGAAATTATTAAGACGAACTGGGCTCAGGAAATCTTTATATTTTTCCAATGCTCTATTATATCAGAACTGGGAAAATCTCGATAGAGTATGTACCACTTAATATTTGATACTGTCAAAATTGCACATTAAAATTACAAAAACTGCATAACAGTCTTTCTGGAGGAGATTCTAAAGTCAAAAGAACACTTTAGACAGATTTAACTGGAATAATTGTCGCTAAGATGTTGAAAATGGGTGTAAGAAATGCGATTTATGAAGCGGTAGAAAGATCCTGGAACAGGATGAACATAAAATGGCACAACGTCTTCACAAAAAGCATTTTGAAGGACCTGCAGTAAATATTATCGGTTGACTTTTAATGATAGACAGATAAAATAAGCAGTTAATGATAGAAATGACTTATTTTAAAAAATATCCGGAAATTGCACCATCCATTCCTAATTATAACGCAAATACAGTAGCAGAAACATCCATAACACACGTTATATCAAGACTTGGAGTTCCATTAGAGTACGATTCTGATCACAGACGAAATTTGAAATCGGGATTATGGCAAGAGTTAATGAAAATTTTGAATATTATCAAAACTTGCATTAAGCCTCTCCATCCGCAGTCAGACACATTGGTCCAAACACCTAATAGATACATTTGTCAATATCTTTTATTGTTGATAATCAAAAAGATTCGGATACTACAATTCTGCTATTTCTGCTAGCCTTTAGAAATTCTTTATCGATGAATATCACCGAAAGAGAAATGAAGCTATCTTAAGATTTTATTTTTGGGAGATTGCCTGTGTGCTAAGAATAACATTCATCGCTGACGTACATCGAAAATTTATTGGTAGTACTCTACAAATTTGTTCAATAAAGTTTAAAGTTACAAAGTGATATAGCAGGCTCCCCATCCGCTTCTATAAACCAAGAATTATCCGAAAAGCCACAGAAATTAAAAAATAATTGAGACAATTTAGTCAAAAAAGGAAAAATTGTCTCAATAAAAAAAACGACAGCATACGGTTATTTTCGACATGGAGATCTCTCATAAATAAAATATCGTCAGCTCCATCCGTCAATCAAAAATCCTACTGTCAGAAATATTCGCGCCAATCCCCACGCCAACCTACACCTAAACCACGTTACCATCGAGAGTTTAAATGACTCGTCCTCTATTTCCAGCACCAATAATGCGTTGATTAGTGATCAGTGTGATGGAGTGTTGGGGTTACGGAGGTTGAAACCTCGGAAATCTTAAAGAAGACATCGAAGAAGATCTCGAAAGCACGTAGCAATAATCCGGTTTAAACCGGACGACTTTTGAGTTTAACATCAATTCCTTTAATAGTATTAATCTTATGTACCTTTCCTTTTTCTTGACTAGTATTTTATTCTTACAGGCTGCAACATTGTCTTGATTTTTATTTTACTCTTGGTAGCATAGTGTATTAATAATTCATGCGTTTGTTATTTAAATGCTGTTTTAGGTTTGTTTCTATAAAATAAACGTGCTTCTGATTCTGGCATTATATTATCTGTTTATCATTTTTTTTTAAATGTGCGTAGGATCAACCATTCATTTTTATTCGCATGTAAAATAATTAAGAAGAATTAGCGAAATAAAATAAATTAAAATTGTTACTTTTACTTTCACTATTGAAAATTTAATAAAATGTAAAACTTTTTGTTCCTTTTTATACTGAATATATATATTTTTTAATTTCTCCGCCGCTGATCAAGTAAAGTCCTTTTCTGCTCTGTACACAGTCTCTTTTACAGGAGCAGATTTAATCTAAACGACTCTTTGAGTTATTTGGTATGTAGTGGTGCATAGTTAGCGAAGACCCTGTCGCTTCAGAAGCCATTGCTATATACAAGGTGTTCACAAATCAGTCATGATATATTAACGTATGATCAAATCAAAATCCCGGATAAAGTGCTCTGTGATATTAAAAAAAAAGATCATTAAAAAGTTAAAAATACGTAAAAATATTAACTTTAAATCAAACAGATTCTCGAGATTCATATTCACAAAACCTTTAAATATATTTGGATGATTTGAAATTTAAGTTTAGGCAGCATTTCTTTAACTTTACTCAAATTTCAGTTTTCTCAAGTCATGTTTTTTTGTAGTTTTTCAGTTTGTTTTCTTCAACTTAGTTCTATACATGCCCACTAAGGGATTGTGTTCAGATTGAATATCAGCGCCTGGGTAGGTTTTAACACTGTTGAAACTATTTTGAATCTTTTGAATCTTTGAATCTTTTTCTAACAAGTATTATAGTCTATTTGAGTTCTTATAATAACGTTTTCTCCGTTATTTCTAAGTGTGTCCTATACAGGCGTCTAGGTGGTAGTTTTTAAAATGTGTTTAGCATGATTAAGTTCTTGTTCAGCTGCAAAAATACTTATTTTTATATATGGTTGGTTATATAATGTTCATAAAACTACATCTAGACTTAGCAAGAACGTTAAAATATGAATTTTATTTAAAAATTTTTAAAGAAAATTTTGTATTGAGATTTGGGCGGCCCGCCCAAGTTGATGTTTGGCGGACAATGCTAAGAGTTGGCACACAACTTAAAGATGTGA